TTTCTCTTATCTAATTGCTCTGGCTAATGCTTCTAGAACTATATTAAATAGGAGTGGTGACAGTGGACATCCTTGTCTTGTTCCTGATTTTAGAGTGAAAGCTTTCAGTTTGTGTTCATTAAGTATGATGTTGGCTATTGGTTTGTCACAGATAACTTGTATCAAATTGAGATAAAGACCATCTTTTCCAATTTTCTGAAGGATTTTTTTTATCATGAATGCTGTCAAACTTTTTCAAATGCTTTTTCTATGTCTATTAAGATGATCATGTGATTTTTTTTGTCTCTGACTCTGTTGATATACTGCTTTATTGAGTTTCATATGTGGAACCATTCCTGCATCCCTGAGATGAATCCTACTTGCTTATGGTATATAATCTTTTTTTAGTGATTTGCTGTATTCTGTTTGCCAGTATGTTATTGAGGATTTTTGCACCTATGTTCATAGAGAGATTGGCTTGTAGTTCTCTTTTTTGGTTGGATCTTCCCCTGGTTTTTGTATAAGGATAATACTTGCTTCCAGGAATAATTTTGGGAGTACTGCTTCCCTTTTCAGTGTTAGTGGCATTACATCTTCTGTAAATTTCTTGTAACATTCAGCAGTGACTCTATCGTGGCCTGGGCTTTTTTTTGTAGGTAAGTTTTTAAGTACATTTTCAACTTCATTGACTGCTTTTGGGTTATTTAGAATTCTTATATTTCTTTATTCAGTTTTGGCAGTTCTTTTGTATATAGGAATCTCCATTTCTTCTGTGTTTTCCATCTCATTAGAGTACAAGCTCTCGAAGTTGATATTGATGATCTTCTGGATTTCCACAGGATCCATTCTGATTTCACCTTTTTTGTTCCTAATTGCATGAAGTTGAGTCTTTTCTTTCCTCTTTTTGATTAGATTGGCTAAGAGTTTTTCAATTTTAATCTTTCAAAGAACCAACTCTTTGATTCATTCTTTGTATTATTTTCTTAGACTCAATTGCATTAATTTCTGCTTTTATCTTTGTAACTTCCTCCCTTATATGAGCTTTTGGTTTGATTTGCTCTTTTTTAGAAGTTTGAGGTTAAACATTTAATTGTAGATCCTATTTAATTCCTTCTTTAATTTTGCCTGTGACTCACTGGCTGTTCAGGAGGGTGTGATTTAATTCCCATGTGTTTATGAAGTTTTTGTGGTTTCTTTTGCTATTGATTTACATTTTCATTTGCCCCATGGTCAGATAATATATATGGGATAATTTTGATTGCATTTACTGAAGTATGATCTTGAGCTAGTATGTGGTCTGTTTTGGAGAACGTTGCATGTGCAGCTCAGAAGAATGTGTATTCTGATATTGTTGGGTGGAAAAGTCTGTAGACATCTACTAAGTCCATTTGTTCACAGAGTTGTTTTATTTCTGATATTTCTGTGTTGATTTTTGTCTAGTTGATCTATTTGTGACAGTGGGGTATTAAGGCCCCCCATTACAAGTGTGTTAGTCCTTACTTAATTTTTCATGTCTGTTAGTATTTGTTTTATGCAGTTAGATGCACTGGTATTTGGTACATATATATTTATGATTATTATCTATTCTTTGAATTTTCACTTAAGTATGTAGTGACCTTCTTTAACATTTTTGATCAGTCTTGGCTTGAAGTTCACATTATCTGCAAATAGAATATCTACTACTTTTTTCTGGATTCCTTTTGCATGGAGTATTATTTTCCAACCTTTAATGTTCAGTGTATGAATTTCTTTTTTAGTTAAATGTTTCTTATATGCAGCATATTGTTGGATCTTGCTTCTTGATCCATTCTGCAAGTCTGTTTCTATTGATTGGTGAATGAAGACCATTTACACTGATGGTTATAACTGATGTGCAGTGGTTTATCCTTTGATATCAATTTTTTGTTTTTCCTGTCTTTCCCACGTTTAATTGCTTGCCTTGCCTGGTCACTTTTTTGTATTGGTGTTCTTGTTATTATGGTCCTAATCTCTTTCTAAAATATCCTTCAGAGCATTTTGGAGAGTTGATTATTTGGGCATGAATTTTTTTCTGTTGTTCTTTGTTATGGAAGTATCTTATTTCTCCATTGGTTTTGAAAAATAATTTTGTTTTGAGTAAAACAATTTGGTTTGAAAGTTATTTTCTTTTAGGACTTGAAATATTTCACTTCAATCTCACCTTGACTTGAGGGTTTGTGTTGAGAAGTATACTGTGATTCTAATGGGTTTTCCACTTTTAATATTCTGTATTTGTGTTGAATTTATGGAATATTGAGTATTATGTGTCTTAGTGTAGATTTATCTTGGTACTCATTGTTTGGAATTCTATATGCCTGACTTATTGTATGTCAAATTCCTTATCCGTATCTGGGAAGTTTTCTGCTATTATTTCTGTAGACATAATGGAAGTGGCTATAGAAAACCCAAAAAACCCAACACCTCAACCATACTGAAAAAAGAAAATCACTCAAAGAAACAAATAAAAATAAAAATAATAAAATTCCTTTGGAGTTCACCATTCTATGGAGGTGTCCATGTTGGATAGATTCTAGCTAGAGTAGTACAATTAGCAATAAAAATAGCATCAAGCACAGCCTCAGTTCTGCAAAGAGGTTTTTATGGTGTTTGTGCTGCCTCTGGCTTTTTCACTGACTCCAGTCAATCTTATAATTTTTCCTCTTTGCTTCACCTTGAAGCTGTTTGATTTTTCATGGTCCCTTGCTATTTTTATGATATCTTTCTTTTTGTGGTCACTAACCATAATCCCATCTTCTGATATTCTATCTTTGCCTTTGTTCAGTCTTTCAATGGAATTTTTAATCTCTGGATACTATTTGGATCTGTTTCATGGCTTTCTTTTCTTCCTTATGTTGGGTATTGATGGTTTCCATAATTTTCCTGAGCTCTTACTTTTTTTTAATGTGTCTACTATAGATTTGTTGGACATGTCTTTCATTTTGATCATTATTTCTTTTTTACCTGAGAGATTATTTTTTCTATAGCCACTTCCATTTGTGTTTTCACTTCCGCTGCTATCATTTCAGAGATTTCTAGTACGTGGCTTCTGATTTCTTCTATGTTGTTGTACTCTGGAGTTGTCCTGGGTTTGTTAGAGGTCTGCAGTTGTGTTTTGTTTCTATCATTTTCTAGATTCTATTTTGTTTTATTTTCTGTGTTGGTCCTTGTAGATTTCTTATGGTAGATAGATTTAGCACTAGTATGGAGGCTTCCCTAGGAAATGTCTATTCCTCAGAGATGTCTTTTAGGTCCAGATTGTTCTTGGTCTTTTTGTCTATCCCAAGGATCTGCTTTCTCAATTTATTAAATATAAGAAATTGAGATTTGGCTCAGCACTCTGTCCTTTGGTACTGGACTATGGTGATGGTTATTACCCCAGAGAATCACAGTGTTGTCATATGAATGAGAAAAATTGATTATAACATGTATGACATTCTAGCTAGAGTAGTACAATTAGCAATAAAAATAGCATCAAGCACAGCCTCAGAACTGACTGTGGTATTAATTTGGTACCTTAAATCATTGGAACAAGCTCTACAGTTATATAACTATATCCAGCATATATCAGGAACTGGTATGCCATGAGTTTCTCCTTGGTTAATTAATTTTATCCTCTTTGGGGCATATTTAAGAGGAATGGAGGACAAGACAGAGATTAATGAGGAGAAATATAGTAGAAGCAAGGCTGTAAGGCAAAGGATGATCTCCCAACTTTTGGGAAACTGGAAAAGAGTACAGGATCAAAAGAATGCAAGAAAAAGCAAAAGAATATTGGATCAAAGCAGAAAGACAAGAGACTGTTTATTCACAGGAAAGTATCATAAAACAAAGAGAGATAGTTGAGGGAAGAGAGAAAGAAGACAAACAGAACAAAATAAATGTAAAGATATGAAACTTAAATAGTCAAAACAAAACAACACCTCAGCTGGGTGTGGTGGTGCATGCCTGTAATCCCAGCATTTGGGAGGCTGAGGCAGGAGGATTGCTGTAAGTTGGAGACCAGCCTGGGTTACAAAGTGAGCTCAAGGCCAGCCTGAACTGCATAGTGAGACCCTGTCTCAAAAAGACAGAAAAAAAAAAAACAAAACCCAAAAAACCCAACACCTCAACCATACTGAAAAAAGAAAATCACTCAAAGAAACAAATAAAAATAAAAATAATAAAATTCCTTTGGAGTTCACCATTCTATGGAGGTGTCCATGTTGGATCCGAAAAATGTGCTGTGTAACCCCGTCATGTTTGGGTATAGGGCTGATCCTGGCCTCTCGTGGAGGCTGGGACTGCTCTTTTGCTGGCAATGTTTTGGATGTCCATTTTGCCTTCCCGTGTCTGTCCCTGTGGCACTCTCCCTGTTGCTGTGGCTCCATTGGGTAGCTCCCAGACCTGTGTACAGTCGGCTCCTTCCAGACGTTGCACAGCGTCCTCTTTTCCACACCACTAGCTCCTATTACTCACTGGTCGTAGGGCAGGGAGGCATGTCCTTGTCCCATTGCAGGCCAAGGCTGTTTGCCTGCTTGTGTTACTGGGCCAAGGCAGCCACTGCCGCAGAGTCTGGGAAGTCCTAGCTCCTACCTCTCAGCAGAAGTCTCCCTAGGCTGCTTACCAGCTGCCAGCAGTCCACTGTGACTGGACGGCTCTTCTTCCTTCCACTCTGGGACTTTGGCAGTGAAACAACCTGGGGCTGTTCTGCTGCTTGGATTTGCCCTCAACCCTCTGAAATAAAATGGTGACCCTACCTGCCTGACTTTGTTCTGAGTGTGTGTACGAAACACAGCGCCAGTTCACCCTGCTCGCCAGCTGCTGGCTTTGCAGAGCCCTTCGGGAAGCAGTGTCTCACCGCACGGGCGGGGTGCTGGCTGCTCTGCTGGGGCATGCCATGATTGAATATATATTTTACCCCACACTTTCCCAATAACTTCTGAGAGTAGTACAGCTGGGATACAGACTTGGGCTGCCTTGAATTTTTCATTTGTTTTAAATGACAAACTTTTATTCTCTTCCAGGCATATCATCTTTGCTCCAAGTAGCCACAACAAATATGCTGGAGAGTCCTTTCCTGGGATTTATGATGCCATGTTTGACATTGAAAATAAAGCAGAGCCTCGCTTGGCCTGGACAGAAGTAAAGAAACATATTTCTATTGCAGCTTTTACAATTCAAGCAGCAGCAGGGACGTTGAAAGAAATGTTATAGGAAGGTGTCCGTCAAGTGGCTAACTATTAAAGGTGTTGCTGAAAACCTGAGGATGAGATTTGTCATTTTTGATGATGCATAAAGCCAGAAGGTTTTAAAAATCTTGATTCTCCTGCCATGGTTTTAAACTTCCATCTTGTTCACCTCAGAGTTTTTGCCTCTTGGATGCATGGTCAAAGAAACTGAAAATGGAAACAACTCGAATGTATAATAGCAGATAAATTGATAAATTGTGTTATAGTCACAGTGAAATTCTAGCCAGCAAAATAAAAATGAAAGAACTGTCAACACAAGCAGTCTTCCTGGCAGATAATGTTCAATAAAAAAGCTACATAGGAAAGAATACATAAGGAAAAACTTACATGAAGATGTGGCAAAATTGTGGTGACAGAAATCAGTGACTGGGCAGAGGACAGCTGCAAAGCTGCAAAGGGTTTCTCAGGTCAGTCAGAGCACTGTGTATGTTCAGCTGAGTATTACACAGGTGTACACATCTGCAAAACCCATCAAACTGTAAATTTAAAGTGTGTACATGTTACTATATGAAAAGAATGTCCTAATAAAATGGATGTTTAAAACACCATAAAAAATAAACATCTGAGTATGGAAACCAGAATAGTGTATCCTCTCTTATAAAATCATTATGGAGTACAATGGTTAGAAAAAGTCAGCAATATTTTTACTTTTGATAATTTCAGTTTTACTGAATAAACATGTAAATCAGTTGGCTGAGGAAATCTACCAAAAATCCATGAGCATCTTCAAGCTTTTATGTAGAGCCTCAGAATTACAGGAAAACATGATAGAACTTGAATAAATTTGGCTGCTCAGTTACTTTACTGAAAGGAGTTGAGAATCAAAAATTATAAGGATAGGTAAGTACACTAAAATAAAAAACAACAGTGGAAAGTTTGCAATTTACTGTTCCTCTCATTGGTATTTTGTTTTTGTCCTCTTTAATTAATAGCTGGTCATAAGCAACAGAACATGTGATCCTGTGGTATGCACTATATTTAGTCCATGACACTGGCTATAGGATATGTGCTGTACCATAAGCAACACACAGAATGTGTGTTTGAACATTTTTCCCCCTAAGCTTTCCCTTAAGCATTTGGTATCAGTTGCATTAGCTGTTAAAACTCCCCTTTCATCTCATTGTTCCAACTTCTGAGATGCTATTTTTCTCTTAAGAATATATCGGAAATAAGTACTATACTTTGCTCACCGTAATGCATTACCTATTTTGTTACTCATTTTTAATATCAAATTTAAACAATCCATAAATTCCTTTCATAATTTAGTCATCTAAGAAATCTAAATATGTTGTTTAATATATTTGGAAATTATGTAATAAAGGAATCTTGTAAGCAATATGCATGTGAATAATGTGCATATTAACTTTTAGCTCAATCCTATAAATTTGTTTTATATAGAAAACTGAATAGAAGGAAATACATGTGACATGAGTGTTCACTACTTCTTTTTATCATAATGAAAACTAATGAAATTTCAATGGACTACTGACTCACTAAAAGAATAGTAGGAATCAGAAAAATGATGTATTATATATTTGTCATTTATATGGTAAGCTGTCCATGACTTCTTTTTGCAGAAAAGGTGATAAAACTTAATACACAGCTATGAGGCAAAATGTCTACAGTGCTTACTTCAGAGTGGTGGACTTTAACATGACTTGAACTTTTGTATTTTTCTGAATTGCCTAAATTTTTGTATCAGAATATATTCCTTTTATAATGGGTTAGATAAAATTACTGCTTTCATTTTACACAGAATAAAGGATACAAAGTTCTGAAATTCTACACACTTCACAAATAGTATTCTATCTATTCCTGTCTTTGTAATTTACCAGTATTGCTATTCTGCCAATATAAACAGTGTTCATTTACATATGCATACGTAAGCCATCTTAATATATTTCCTATTTGTTTCAGAATTTCACACATATAAAGTAATTGGCCTTTGAGCTTTTAAGTAAATAAATGAAATCGGGATAAAATAGTAACATTAGAAATAATTATACTTGGGAGAATTTAACTTTGTCATTGTAACTGTGGACTCATTTGATTTTTTTTCTTCTGTCTTTTCAGTAGCTCTTAAATCCATCCATTTCTCCCGATCCTCAGTGTGATGATTTCAGATTCAGACAATCTATATCTTTCACTCAAATGTCACCAACTTCCTCCCTCACCAACTTCCTCCCTCTCTTCGTATTAGTTATACTGACTTTGGTCAGAATGATCTACCTAAATGCAGTGCTATTACCTGTTATTTAAAAACCCTTCAGTAGTGACCTCCACTCCCAAGGACGTTGTAATAACCAGCAGATAATACTCTGGTTGCAGGAGCCAGTGAAAAATGCAAGTATGTGTAGAGATACCAGAACGGCTGTGGAAGTGCTGACCGTTAGAGATGCAGCATAAGTCTGAGTCTTTAAATAGGTGAGATAACCAACCGTTTTCTCCTGGGCCCTTTCCAATTCCAGGCCTGGGCTAAAGTTCAGGCTTCCCAAGGATTAAGGCATTTTACTCGGGGGTAATCTGCAGAGAATGCGATGACCGTGCTACTGTCACAGTGTACTAGAATCTAGAGAATTTCCAAACCCAGTGTAAGATATTTGCTTTAGAGGTGGGGTACGGGTAGAAGGCTTGGGAGTTCAGCAAACAAGAGTTGAACATTCCAATACTGTCACTGAGCTCTAGGGCTTGGCATATCCTAGTCTGTATAGACCGACTCCCCTCTTACTTGGCTATGGTTTTGTTTCTCATCAGGATTCCAGTATCTGTTCTTTAAACAATTCAGAAAGTCCAGCAGATATGCTCCACAGCAAGTATATAGATGTATTTTTAGTGTCATTTTTTATTTAATGATTTTTTTGTTTTCCTTTTTGGAAGCTTCCGTGGAAGCAAATTGTGTGTTTGATTAATTATCACACATATCAGAAGGGAACAAGGTGCTAAATGAAACAAAACAGTTGTGCAGAGGGACTGCTGCAGCGTTGAAGAGGCTCACTAACATTTATATCTGATTAAAAGCCTAAGTAAAATCTATAAATTTCACATACCAACTCCAAACAGTTCCTCTGGGAGAAAAAACTGTTCAGAAATCTAAACCAACTAAACTAGGTTTTTCTAGCAAAGCATAATGATATATGAAAAGTGGATCGCCTACGTATGCTACATAGCTGAGAGAAGTGTCATAATTGACAAATTGATATGTGGTTCTTTAAGTTCAGGACCTTTTTTTTTTCTGGTACCTGGGATTGAACCCAGGGGCTCCACGCTGAGCTACATACCTAGCTCTTTTTTAAAGTTGTGAGACAGAGTCTTGTTAAATTGCTGAGTTTCCCAGTAACTTGCTATCCTCCTGCCTCAGCCTCTGAGTGCTGGGATTATTGGTGTGAGCCACCATGCCCGGATAGGCACTTCTCATAGGAAATGTTTTCCTTGTAATGTGATATGACAGGATATCTTCCCTAATAATGCAGGTATATTTCCAGGTACATGGCCTGGTCGTCATCCACACTTAAGAATACAGAAATGAACAGTGTGCAGACTCCAGTTGATGACCAAGCCAAGGTTAGTTATGTGCATAAACCTTTACAACAAACTGCCTGCAGGGGACAAATTCAGCACCATGGCCCTTCAACTTTCAGTCCCTCAGCTATAGAACTCATCCCCCCCCTCTTAGCCCCCCCCCCCGTTTTTTTTAGAGATAGGTCTCACTATGGTGTCCAGGCTGGCCTTAAACTTGCAGCAATCTCTCTGCCTCAGCCTCAGGTATGTGCCACCACACCTGGCCTATTGGCTGGCCCTTTAGAAAATAAGCAAATGTACAGCTCAATTGACTATTGTTGGAGACCACTACAAAGTGGCTCTGGGCAGGATTTAATATTAACCAATTGGCTTTCTGCGTTTACTTGAGAGTTGTCTGAAGGACACAGCTGAGGATGTCTGGCTCTAACCCCAATTAACTTAAAGGAGACTGCAACTGCAGGCATCTCACTCCTGCTATGAAGGCCTTCCTGGAGATAGCATAGTTCTCCTAAATTAACATAATGTATTGGAAAAGTCCTGCCCAGACTCCCGGGTTTTCTTGAGTATCCTCCTCCTTTGTTTGTAAACCAATAAATACAGGCTGTCCAGAGAAGTCTTTGGCTAAACTCAGAGAATACTGAAGCTGTAAGAGAGTTAGTCCCTCCTGGAGCCATGAAATCATTTCCATTGTCTCATTTATGTAAGCCTTTGCCGTCTTGCCATCCACTCGCTTGGGAAATTGTGGGCCTGATCAGCCTGCCATAATTAATGGTTATTTAATCTGGTTTTCGATAGACTATAGCAAAAACCGAAAGAATGTAATCTTCTCATGTTATTTGGTAACATGTAATTCAGTTATTTGATATTAAAAAAGGCAAGAATAACACAAGCAAATGGCAGTACCAATTTTGGGCTTTGCATGTTGATTTAGATATTTTCAGTGTCATAGTTCAGAGTTTTAGGGATTTTTGAGTCCAGGTCCCTGATTGGATGAAGGAGGATATCAAATGTGAGCCTCACCTGTACAATTTAGTGAGATCCTATCTCAAAAATAAATATCAGGGGCTGGAGGTGTAGATTAGTGTGAGGGTCTGGGTTCTATCCCTAATACTGAAAACAATCGCCATTTTTAAAAATTATCTGTGATCTGAGGCAAGTTCTGCAGGTTTTTTCTTTGTCTCCGAATTTGATTAATAGCACTCAGCATAATTCTGAGGATGCTCTAAAGATAAAAGAAAAGCTGTTCCACTTGGCAGTGTGCTTCACACATTCTAATTGTGAAAAACAAACACAAAACCCTGTTATTGTATCCGCAGCTTCCATTTACTTCCTTCACTGGCACCTCCTAAATTCCTGTCTACAGCACCAATGTCCTTTGGTTAAGTGAAGTACAAAGTCCTGTAATTAGCTGCTTTTCCTGAACAATTCTAGCTACCTAAAAATTGGGACTAGAATTTCTTCGGTCCTCCAGTTCTGATTTCCATTATCTTTCCACTCCTCTGTCTCCTACTCAGCCTTTTCCTGGAGATAAATTTACGTGGCTGTATTGGGGGCAAAGAAGAATGTAAAGGATCTTAAGGCATTAAAATGGTCTCGACAGGCCTCTAGGATGTGGAAAGGCTGGGGTCAGTTTGTTGTCGGAATCCGGCTTTCGTGTAATCGTACAGGAAGACGTCGCTTGTTTATCAAGTTAAAATTTGCTAGAAACGTCTGCGCCTCTTGCGGAACAACCAC